ATTCTTGCATTTATATTATCAACTCCAAAAGCATTAGTACGGATACTATGTGAAAATGTGTTAACTTCTTCGACGGTTATCAGTTTAAATGAAAATTTGATTGAGGGATCATGAACTGAGTTGTTATAAAAATCAATTTCATTATCACAATTATTGAATACGTTCTGCAGAAAGGTACAAAAATAATTGTTCAAATCATTAGGGTTAGCTAAATATAAGAGCAAAGAGTTATGAAGAATGTGTAAGTAAGTATGTGAATATTTGTAAAAAAGTTAGTATGGCGTTCATGGAGTAGAACCTACGGAACATTTTATTGAATTTTGTGAATTTGGTGTTATAGTTGAACAAATTATATTTCAGCTTGGGGTAAAATAGGCCGAATAAATACCACACAAACACAAAATAAGAAAAATAGATAAAACTTTGGGCAAATATCACACGTTCTATAAGAATAAAATATTAATGTACAAATAGATAAAATCTTAGGCAATATGAATAAGATTATGCCACTTACAATAGAGTATGATACAACTTTGGAATAAATTTGACTGAGACTAACTTATTTAACTCTAACAGATTTTTGAAAAACTGTCTATCTTTTTCGAAAATGTGTTTTTGTATTTGTTTTTGAATACTGGTTTGGAATGAGAATTTTTTATTATGTCAGGTACAGTGTTATATGATTTAATTTCCATGAAAGAATATGCTCTTAGTGAAATTGACTTTTCAACAGTAGGATAGGTTAGTTGGTCGTGATGTCGTGAGATATAGTCGTGGATTCGTGATGATTCTTTATTTTGGCTGAAATAAAACTTCACGTTTGTACAATAGTAACATAATTGACTCATATCCATAACTTCAGACTCTTTATACAGGAGATCTAACGGGAAACGCAAATTTCTAGACATGCTCAACTCCATGATCTCCTTTGTGATACTTCTGAAGGATTGAGCTGTGTATACGTAAAGCTGATCCCCATGCTGTTATACCATATCTCAAATGGCTCTCCACTAGGAAACTATATAATTGTTTAAGTTCTTCATGAGGTAGGTAATTTTTCAAGGAACGGAAGTTGTTAAGCAGTGTTTGCAGCTTCTTTATTATATATTTTATATGACAGTCCCACCTTAAGTTTCTATCTATGTAAGCACCCAAGTATTTAATTTCTCTCAGGGAATCTATTTTCAGTGTTTTTCCTTGTTCGCCGACATCAAGAGTTTCAAATGGACAATCACTGGATAGATTGCAGCTGAAAGGAAGAAAATTAGTTTTTTTCAGATACACTGTCAGGAGCTGTTCCTACGTTCTTTTTCAAATCAAGCCAAGTGTTTGCCTCATAGACTATTGCAGTATCGTCTGCGTATCCTATTATTTTCCCAACGCTGTCCAAATCAAATAATTCAATTAGATATAAATTGAATTGAAATTGAAAAGCAGAGGACCCAGTTCCGTCCCTTTTCGGACTCCACATTCTATTTGTTTCTGATTGATAATTGTATCTCCTATTCGCACAACTTACATTCTATTTCGAAAATAGCTTTCAAAAAGCGTTTGGCAGTTCCCTATAACATTATTATCTCAAGTTTGTAGAAGTAGTTGATGATCGACAGTATCGAAAGCCTTCGTTAGGTCTATAAATATAAATGAAGGTTTTCCTTTCTCCAAAGATTTATGTACCATTTCTGTTCAAGAATCGCGTCTTCGGTTGAGGTTTTTTCTTTGAAGCCAAGTTATCTATCTGAAATCAATTCGTATTTGGTTATAAATGAGTTTATTCTTTTCTTTAACAATTTTTCAAAGATTCTTGGCAGATGGGTGATAAGCGAGATTGATCTATAGTTTGTGATTTCAGTTTCATCTCCCTTTTTTATGGACAGGAGTCACTACTGCAGTTTTGAGTGAGTCCGGCCACACACCAAGTAATATAAACCTTGTTTTTGATTATATTTTTGTCTCCGTGATATGGAAGTAATCATCATTTTCCCACATTATCAGTACGGAACATGTAAGTTGCTGTTTCAACGAAAAAATAGAAAAATCAGTATTATTAGTCAGTTCTATACAAAATGGTTCGTTCAACAGAAAGTAAAATCAAAATTTTTCTTTTTCAAAGGAAAATTGGAGTGTATGAGAATATTGTGTGAAATTCACTTCCTCAGTACTGGGAAACACATTACTAATTATTTGTTACAACTTATTTGCAAACCATCGTTGCTGGTCCACTCAGTCTTGACATGCACCGCTCTCATTCAACCATCGCTCTCAGGAAAGACTACGAATATAATACCTTTCAGTCAGAAATTTCTAGCAAACGTTATGGATTATGATGACTACATCATAGACTTGTAGAGGTTGTGGATCTGCTCATCATACCACTTCCTTCTTCTCACTAGCGATGGTGGATATTTCTTGGTACACCTTCTCTAAAAACGATTTACAAAAAGTTGTTCAATTGTTCATTGTCTTCTGGTTACGACGTCCTTTTCACGCAGAAAACATGGAGCAGTCGCTGCACAAGTCAGTTTGTATACTCTTGATCTATCAGACAGCGGAATTTTGTCTTTATTGTTTTAAATAAATTCCCTTAGACTATTATTCGTTCTATATGCTACTTTTACGCATTCTTTCTTCAAAAAACGGGCCATATTATTGGTTGGTTCACCCAAATATGACAATGTCTTTTAACTGACGTTATCGCATCTTGAATTTGGGTAGATCAGTTCCATGGCTTGCTTATGTAGTTTTTAGGATGGAATCTGCAATATCTACCTCATAACCGTTACTAACTGCGATTTGTTTGATCAAACTCAGCTCTCTTTGGAAATTACTCTCGGGCAGTGGAATAATTAAATAGTCTCTGTGAAGCATACTATTGAATGCAGCAATTTCATGCTGGTAAGCGTGTGTGGAGTAGACCAAAACCATACACTTTCTATACACTATACACCTTCTATTGTTTGTTATATTTTGAATTTCAAATAAGTGACTGATTGCTTTTATTTAATTCAACTTTTATGTGGTAGGGGCTATTTTTATACGTTCATCAAATGTTATTAATTTAATTACATTTACATTTATACAGGGCTATTCAAATTCGTTTCTGTACATGGGATCTCGTAAACGATAAGAGATAGAGTGTCGATTAAATCATGGCAAAATTGTGTATTTTAGAGACCTATTCAATGATGTGAAAAAATCGAATACAGCTCTTTTGGTTCTGGAGATATACAGGTAAAACAAAAAAATCCCAACTTTTTTTTTGCCTATATCTTCTTTATTCGCAGACATATTGAAAATCTGTCAACATTTTGCTATCGACACTTGCTGTGGGCTATCAGAATATGTCCATGAATCTTTTATATAGGGTGTCATCTGACTTGGGCCACCCCTATCTTTGAACTTTTGAATACGGACCTGTATAGTTTGTTGTTATTTTTGGATCGTAGAAGTTCACTTCATACTGAAAAATTGAATTTTATTTTATATTTGGGATGTTTCGGTAATATTTGATTATAATTGGGTGAACTATTCCCTTTTAAATTACGGCCCTGGAAATTGGTTAACTCAGTTAAATAAAAACACAATAGCAACTTCCACGTCTCCCTATGTACCATAGAGTTTTCAGAGAGTTTTTTTCATTACTAGGCCTTTTATGACTATCTGAAACATATCTACAACAAAAATATATTATATCTGTTTTGATGAGCAGAAAAAGAAATGATAGCAATAATAACATCCGAAACGAACACTATAATTGTAATGAAAATTGAAATGAATTAATTTATATACACAAAAAAATTAATGGCACAATAAATGTTCCAATTGGAGTCCTTTCATTTCGAGACAAATAATGGGACAATAAGATGGTCTGCAAAATCACCAGATCTTACTATTTTGGACGATTTTCTATGTGGAATATTGAAAAATAGGATTTACGCTGGCAGAGAGATAGAAAATGTGGAAGACTCGAGATTGAGGATTTTGAATGATTTCGCAACAATGCAACAAATAAGTGTGTTGAGGGCAATAAATAAATTGAAAAACCGAGTTCAAAAATGTCTCGAAATGAAAGGACCCCAATTCCGACATTTATTGCGCCATTAATTTTTTGTGTATATAAATTACTTCATTTCAATTCTCATTACAGTTACCTATAGTGTTCGTTTCGGATGTTATTATTGCCAATCTTTTTTTTTTTTCTGCTTATTAAAACACATATAATATATTTTTGATGTAGGCATGTTTCAGATAACCATAAAAGGATTTCCTATTCGAAGTTCATTGTAGAAAATGCTGAGAGCAATAAAAAAAATGAATAGGTACCTAAAAATGAAAAAAAAACTTTTCAAAAAACTCTACGGTACATAGGGAGCCGTGAAAGTTCGTATTGAGTTTTTATTTGACTCAGTCAACCAATTTCCAGATCCGTAATTCAAAAGGAAATAATTCACAAAATTATAATGAAATATTACCCAAACACCCCGAAATATAAAAATCAATTTGATTTCTCAGTATGAAGTGAACGTCGAAGATACAAAAAATACAACAAAAAATACAGATCCGTATTTAAAAATTCAAAGATGTGGGTGGCCCAAATCAGATGACACCCTGTATAAAATATTCATGGACATATTCTGATAGCCTACATCAAGTGCCAAAAGCAAAATGTGGACAGATTTTTGATAAGTCTGCGAATAAAGAAGATATAGGCAAAAAAATAATTTGGGATTTTTTGGTTTTTCCTGTATATCTCCAGAACCAAAAGAGCTATATTCGATTTCTTCACGTCATTGAAATGGGTCCCTAATACGCAACTTTGCCAATTCAACCGACACTCTATATCTTATCGTTTACGAGATCCCCATGTACAGAAACGAAATTGAATAGCCCTGTATATACACGCTTTGTCAACAAGCTGTTCTTTGATATTAAAGCATATTTTGATTGATTGATTGAACCTCTGTTACTCAATAATTTTTCAATGAAAGAAAGGAGACAAATAATTATAGATAACATTTATTGTACTTCAGATGAATGAGTGGAATGAAATGAAAACAAAGGTGGTATCAAAAAAATATTGAAATCAATATCCATATCCCTTGCCTACAAGCGGCACTGCTCCCGCGATTACCCTGGATACTTGAATTTGCCTGTCCTTTTCAGCTAGACCATATTCACTCTTCGTTAGGTCACCAATTCTGGACTCTTGCTGTTGCTTCAAGTCGCCTGTGTGAGCATCTTCAACTCCATATTTGTATTCATACTTTGGAGGAGCCTGTAAAAACAGATATCACATGATTTTCACGTAATTGATACAAACTCAATATCACTAGTTACGACACTAGAATACGACATTCCAAATTTGCTTTTCCCCGAAATTGAGGAAATTGTTTGAAATCTGGAAACAAAGCGTCTAAAACAAGTTTAAAAGTCGTTCTGCTCCATACTAGTAACAAAACACCCTCTATTCCTCTTGCACATGCAGTTGCCATGAAGGAAACATACGCAAGTATGTCACTTATTCTGAATGCAATAAGTTATAATACGTATAGGTAGCAAATATGTGGTGACCTAAAAGTCATAGGACTATTACTAGGTCTTCAGGGCGGATTTACGAAGTTTTGCTTCATTATCAAGTAAAAGAATGACCTCCGAGAGATGAATATATCGCAGGTCAAGCTAATGTGAAGAATATACCTCTTGTTAATACCAATAACATTTTGTTTCCTCCATTACACATTAAACTGGGGTTGATTGAAAGAATTTTGTAAAAGCATTAGACAAAGAAGGTGATGCGTTTAAATATCTTAAACACGTTTTTCCAAAATTAACTTATGCAAAGCTCAAGGAAGGTATAATTGTTGAACCACAAATTAAAAAACTACAGTGATCGACAGTTCCATCAAAAATTAAGTGATGATGATGATTAGGGAACAAGAAAGTAGAAAATTACGAAACACTTGTAGAGGAACTACTTGAACACTACTGCAGAATGGGATGTCGCATGTCTCTCAAAATCCATTTCTTGCACTCCCATTTGAACTTTTTCTAGAAAATTTAGGTGCTGTAAGTGACGAACGAGAGGTTTCACCTAAACATACTGATAATGGAGCAACGTTACCAATGCAGATGGGATGCAGCAATGATGGGGGATTATTGTTGATTTTTTATGAGGGAAAACGATGAAACATACAAACGAAAGTTAACATTTGCAAAAAGGTTATGCACAATAGACTTCATTTGCTGCTTCAAACTCTCATGTATAGCCATTATAATATTAGTCGCATTTTTTTATTTGTTTGCTGTTCTATTCATTACTCATACAACTTTGAAGCTTTCATAGAGTATTAGGTGACCAACATACAGATGGCGCCATTAGTGTTGAATCCGTAACCTCAATCTGCAAAAGACACGTGTATACATTTCACAGCTGTTGGAGTATTAGTTTGTGAGATAGAGCATTTTGAATGAAGCAACTTCTGTTGGTGTGAAGGAAATGGATAAAAATAAATTTTGTTTGTTGATCAAGCATTGCTTTATGACAGAAAAAATACTGGCTTGATAAACATCAATTGGACTTTGCACCAGGAGAATCAACCGTTGAGAAGAGGTTTGCTGAGTTTGAAGGAGGAAGATGCACGCAATGAACGCTTCAAAGAGGCTGTTGGTTAAGGAAATATCAACAAAGTCCACAAAATAATTTGAATTCTGAGTAGTGTTTGAAGCTCTTTCGCCATGAAGGACACGAATTTAAACGGCAATATGTGACAATGGATGAAACATGGCTCCATTATTTCACACCAGAATCAAAACAACCGTCAGCTACTATTACATATTGTTATTGGACAGTTTAAAGGTCGAAATCGCTGAAAAACGGCTCCATTTAAAGGAAAATTTAAAGAAAAATTCACGTCGACTGTCAAAACTGAGGCCTATTTTGAGGCTACAGACAAATCGTACCATAAATGTGGTACTAAATATTATATGCTAGCTATAATCATTGTGTCGCCCTTGATGACAACTTTATCGAATAAAGAAACTAAATTTCATCCAATTGTTATGTCACATTCATGAAAATAACAAGGAATCAAATTGGAAGGAGTATATTTTCAGGAGAGGTTCATTTTTGTGAGAGGAATGTTTTACTTTCTACTTCTCTATCTTTATACAGAATAATACCGGCATGTGTTCCCATAATTTTATGTTCAAAATCGTATCAGAATTTCTACACTTCATTCTTTTAAGAAAATACAGCTATGATTAAACGATTATCAAATACTATTCTTACCCAAACATCTACAACAGCCTGTTTTGCAATTGCAATACCATGTCCTCCTTGTAAAGATAATCCTCCTCCAAGACCAAGTCCACTGCTAAGTCCTAGACCCCCTCCATAACCACCAAGAAGTAAACCTCCGGCGTGGGCCAAAGCTATAAGGGCAGAGATGACTATTGCCTATAAATGAAAGGGAACTGCATAAGAATGATTAATTATCAAGTTAGTGAGAGTCAGAAGGTCATGAAGGTTTTGGTTTTGTTGACAAAGCAGGCTTAAGAAATGAAACAATCTGAAATTTAATCTGAAGAAATGAACTTTAAACATTCGAGCCAGTCTCGAGTATACCTACACAGTAGGTTGAATGGACTGACGCCTATCAGAAAACAACTACTTCCCTGGCTAATACCACGAAGAGCGTTGGATTATATCTGACAGGCGTCAGTGCAGGAATCTTACCAGAAAATTTCCTGTATATGCAATTGGCAATACAATTGAAAGAGTCGACCTTCAATTTTGGAACGTGCACACTTGCAGATCGGTTTCGGGCTCATTAGCCACTCATCAGTGCAAGATAGTGGCCATCATCGACCTAAAGTCAATGATATTCCATAATTGAAAATCGGAATTCTTTCATAGTATTTCATTAGTTGCAATAATTATAAGTTGAGAAGTCGTCAGAATGAAATTCCTCAGTAATATAGTGAGCTTTATCTAACAGAAGTTTTTTCATTTTTTTTTCGAAACTGTGTGTAGCAGGTTAACTTTCAGATTGAGAGTGGGAGATGATTGAAATATTTTCTGCTGTTATATGGTATCGAGTTTTCAATTTGTGCTGTTCACGGGATAGCAAGAGGAATATTGAATGTGAGACGAGTAGCATAATTTTAAGTTGAGTTTAAGATGTTTCATTTGTGCTTTTTGTGCAATTATCGACTGTTTTTACAATAAATAAGCAACAGACTGTTGAGATGTGATGCGTTAAAAAAAGGGGCTTACAGAGATCTTGGACTCTTGCTCTGGTCATGAATCCCACTGCTATTTTTTGAATAGTGAAAACTAGCGTTAACTGTTGCTCCCCCAGAAGGAAACTCCGTACCGCTAGTGGGAATCGCAAAGTGCAAAGTATGCTTTTCTGGCTGAGTGATAGTCCAAAGAGTTAGAGATAGACTTTATCGCATAACAACCTGACTATACTTTTTTAAATACTATACTAATATGGGTACCAAATTCCAATTTGTAGTCTTTGCTGAGACCGAAAAATTTGTTCTCTAGTTTTTGATCGATGATATGTTCTTCAAGAATTCTATGATCCAGATTACATCTGAAGGACATCATATCAGTCTTTGATATATTGAAAGATGATAAATTGGCATCCACCCTAATTTTAGTCAATATATATTCCAGATCATTCAAACATAATAAAATTAGTAGGTGTAACACCTCTCGAAGCGAAGCAGTAACTCGTCTTGATAATGCCATCTGAGATGATGGCGAAACGTCGAGTATCGAATAGTACACAACGGATGAACACCCGGAAAAACAACACATCATATTCTACCATCCGTGAAAACCTACATTGTAATATATATATATATATATATATATATATATATATATATATATA